AGAGTGTAGCTTGTCAACTCCAACAAAGACAACTCTGTAACATGTGAGCTTATTTTATTAACAGAATAAAAAAAGAACAGGCTTATAAGACATAAGGAATTGTTTTTATATTGTAAAGAGACATTTAAACATATACTCTGAAAGACAAAGTGAAGAAAGCCATGAAAAACTCAGAGAAACTAGTAAGGCTAAGAGGCATCACAAATATTTCCATTGTGTTCTATGACAGACCTCTGTTGGAAACATCCAGAGTGGGCACTGACAGGTTTTTTCCCCCAGTGCCTATTGCTACTGATGGCTCATCTTTACAGGGTGTCTTGGCACCATTGCCTCTGAGAAAGCAGGCAACATACAAACATACAGACATGCAGCAGTCTTGTTGGAACTCAAGTATATCTCAAAATTTCGATAGGCATCTTAATTACTAAATATATATTTTTAATTATTTTTAAGAAAATGTAACACAATCAGAAGTTAAGCACGTTTAAAATTCATCATCTTCCTATCAAGTAGATTACAGTTCCCGATATAAGATTTTATTAATTCCTAAATTTCATTTTGATTTATAACCATCTGCTTTTTAATAATTTTATTTCTCCAAATGCCAAATATTTGCCCTTCCTATCTTCAAAAGTTTGTGCACAGAGTTATAGAAAATCTGTTTAATAGATTTACCTAGACTAGTATTTACCAAATACATGCATTTTAAATCTTAAATAAAAATCCAGCTCCCATCTCTCCCCATATTTCATCACTAAAATTGTCCATCAACACTTTTAATTCATGGGGCGTATCAGCTTTCCAGCACAGCAGTTTCCGTGCCTGTCCCCAGATGCCCTATACACTGCAGCAGTACTCTCTCTTCTGACCATATCCTCAGTTCCCTTCATCTGCTGGGTACACAAAAGGCAGAATGCCCAGTCACTGTTCCAGAGGTAAAAGTGGGTCCAACCAGCCAGTCACTGACACTCAGCTGCTGGCCAGGCTCCACTTGCATTCCTTTGCTGTTCATGTGTTATGCAGACTTGTTAAAATCTCACAGTTTGGAGATGCATTCCACATAATATTTCCACTTACAACAAAGCCCTTTGTTAAGTTTTTGAATTAGCATAAAAAGCATCATTAGGAATCAAAATTTCGAGTTACTAGAGAACAGTGTGGAATGTTGGGCTCTTTCTGACTATGATTTTCATCTATGGAAATACATGCTTTATAAAGAACTTTAATCCCCATGCTTTATTAAGAACTTTTCATCAAATAACAACAACACAAAACCACAACACTTGGAACTCACCTGAATATTTGGCACATTTTTTCCGTTTATTTTGGGCAATATTTTTAAAGCAGGTCTCTCTCATACTGCCATATTCAAAAGTTAAAAAAATAACTTTGGATTTTTGGGTATGGAAGAAGAGTTTGCTAACTGCATTTTGGAAAGCTAGAAATTTTAGAAGTTTACTTGAATTTAGAAATTTACTTTAAAAACTCAATACAAACTCACATAGTCACAGAGTTTAAATAATTTATTTAAAGTTAGGAGGATAAGCAAGGAAGCATACGTATTATAAGCATAAGTCACAGAACCTTATCATATCCTGGTTTGACTGTTTTGAGGAAGATAAGTTTTAGCAACACAAATGACAACGCCAGCAGAGACAACAGTTCCATGGAAATAATCCATTAAGTAAAGACCTTTTCCCTCAGCAGCTGTACCTCCAATAATTCAAAAACTCTAAGGAACAAAACAAAACTGTTTTGATAAAACATGCTCTGAACAGGTGAAAATTCGGAGTAGTCAGATCACAGGAAGGAACACATTTGACATATCAACCTGTGGCCTACACATCCCCCACTGTTTTGTATTCTACATTTGGCTTGATTCCTGGCCAAAGTAGCATAGGCTAATATGGTGCTTCACAAAATAAACAGAAACCCTTAAATCCATGGAAAAACACACACAAACCAAAGGCTAACACAAAATGCTGTATGCATTGCACTCTATAAGGAAGTATCATTCATCAATTTTAACTAAAAATTGCAAAGCAATGATCCTCTCTCCACCCTGTTACCAGGAAAACTACTGGTATACATGCTTACAAAGACAGAAACATGTTTCATAGAAGGACGTCAAGAACCTCAGAAAATTAAAATATTTTATATGTGAACATATACAGCAGCTAAAAATAAACGTTACAGGCATGATGGACCTCTGCAGACAACAAATTTGGCTTCTCTCTTTGGCCCTGCCACTGACTAGCCACACATCCCTAGGAAAGTTATTCTTCTGCAAGAGAGAAACAAGTCCAATACTTGGAAAGCTCTTCATACACAGGCTATCCTATGCTAAGAGAGCAGAGCAAAAATAGTAGGTGAAACACTGGCTTGTGGCCTATACCTTACCCTAAACCAATTTGCACCATCTCCTAGTTCTAACAGAGATGCTTTTAAACTTCTGAAAACACAGACATGGAGGCTGCTGCTCCATAAGTCCCAGGGATTGGAATCAGTACAACGTGTTTTCTCACAAAAGACCCTACATAACATCTATCTATCCTATAATAACAACATACAGCTTCTGAAGGTGTACAGAGAACAGGTTGAGCTAAAGAGAGAAAATCTGCTAGTCTGGGTTTTGTGTTTGGCAAACAATTTAACATAGTGGGAAATAAATTTTTCCAGCATTAGGGCATCTGATTCATCTGTGAATGGATGATCACCCCCTCTTTTAGCATGTAGCTCCTGCGAAAGTGCTGCAAAAAGCCACACGCTGCCCATAAAGAAATATCTACTGGAGATTCACAGGGAACAGAATGAGAATATCTGTGATTTGCACATATGTTCGCTGTTCTTTTTCATTAGATGAAAAATAGATGCCAGCTGGCATTCACTCGTAGTATCAGCACCACATTATTCACAATTTCTTCTACAAAGTAGAAGGTTCCTGGGCATTGTCAGTGTCTAATAGAAAAGTTAAGAAAGCAGAACCTAACCCCATTCACACCTGCTCAATCTCTCACTCATTCTGAACATATTTCAAGGCATCTTTTCTAATTCAGTCTGCCAAACCGCTTCATCTTAGCAGCGAGAATTTCTTCACAATGTTTGTATATCTAAGGGACTTTTAAGTTGGTTAATGGCTTTCCTTTTTTTTTTTTTTTTAATATGAATAACTGCAGGACTGACAGTTCTATAACCCCCAGGCATGTAATTTGTACCTAAGATATGTACATTTGGAGAGGGAGAAAAGAAAGAATAAGTACAACACAGCTCAGACTGAAAACAAAAGGTGTTAAACTGAACCTTGGGAATATTTATAATAGAAACAAATCTGACAGAAACAAACCTTTAACAACTCCCCCCTTCATTTGCTAGGACACAGCCTGATAAAGCACAGAAATGCTACTGTAGCCCCTGCAGGCTTATTTTGACTAAATCTCAGGAATGCAACATATAAACACTAGACTCCCACATTACACTGTTAGAACTTGCATTAGCAGCAACTGGACAAAAGCCCCATTTTCACAGAAACTTCTTACAGGGATAAATCTTATGTTTAGGTTTGGGGGAGGTGTTTCTTCTTGTTGTTGTTTTTAAAAAACAATTTCCTCGCATAAATCATGCTCTCAAAATTCAAGAGGTGACTGATATATTGCAAACAGCAAACTTACTTTCCTTTTTGCAAATTTATTTTCCTTTTTAGGTTGTACCAAGGAGCCTTGTTTATCTATTTGATGTTTAGCCTAACATGGTGCATCTTTTATATTAGAAAGTCACAGCCATGAATGGCAGCTCTATTTTCTTTCACAATACCAGTATTATAGTTTCAAATCTCCTTTTTCTTATATATATTTTGATTTTTCTAGAATTTCTCAATAGAGAAAAGAAAAAAAATAGTATTATCTGACTTTCATGCTTGCAAATGTGCATTTCCTATCGCAATTATTTGCATCAGGAAATTGCTCTGTAGTGCAATGTTGAATCAGAATCTTACTGTGCTATGTGCTGTAAAAAACAAAGACTATGGCATTTTAGTATTTCCATTAAAAACAGTTTTTCAGTATTTCAGTGAAACAATAGCTCCCAAAGCATAAGAAAAGGCAACAGTAATCCAACTGTCTCATCATATTTTCTTTTGTTATCAGAACTGCCACCACTGAAGAGAGCAGAAAATTATGTTGGGGTTTCTTTCCTAATTGAAGAGCAATTTCACATACATAGGCAGCAAAGAATAGGGACAGTACAGCATTCGTTTAAGTTTATGCTGCCCTCTTGTGACTACCGTGTATAATTGCTACAGCAAACAAGTCATTAACCTAAGATAGTGAAAAAATCGTATTTAATTTGATTTTAGAAGGGAATTTCATAACAGGATGAGGGCAGAAAAATCTATTTGTTACTAATGAAGGTTGGTAGTGTGATGTTGTCGCATAGTAAAACAAATTCTCAGAAGAAAAACAGGACAGGAAAATCGGTGTATAAAAGGCAATTTTGAACATTTTTCACCTTGCATAAAGAAAAAGTACAAACGCCAGCATCTATTAAAGCCGTTGTAAGGTAACTTACGTTTTTCCAGGAGATTCTTTTAACCAGAACAGATCATCACTTGTGATTCCATACTCCAGTGCACCTGCAATCTATGATCACACAGGTAAGAAAGACCTTGAATCTACAACACAAGTCCTGGCAGCAAAAAAGCTAATAGCAACTTGGGCTGTATTAGCTGAAGTATAGCCAGTAGACCAAGAGGAATATATTTGGGGTTGCCCAGATATGTTATCCAGTCTTCGTCTTCAAAGATTTTTCAAAACCTGACTGCAAAAAAAACCCTGAGTAACACAATCTGACCGCACACCTGTCCCCAGCTCCTCCAGCAGGAGGTTGAACTAGATGACCTCTAGAGATCCCTTCCAACCTGAATTATCCTACAGCTCTAAGCAACATCAATGTACTAAATTGATGCAAATTGTTATCTATGGAAATGTTTTTCTGAAAAGCCTGTGCTTTATATGAAAGAAAATTTTTCACACGACACAAGTACAAAAATCTCTCATGTGCTACTTTATATTTACATTATTTATCCTCCAAACAGTCATTATTATCTGCAACAAAACCAGTAAAGCCATTGGAGTTGTTGGACAGCAAGTGTAACTTACATGCGTAGGATATTTTGGTCTTCCTCCAGTAGCAATGACAATATTTTCTGCAGTAACAATAGTCTACAAACAAAAATACAAAATCAAGCACTTGAAATCCTTTTATCTGTCTTTAGATTCTATCTTTGTACAAATGAGTGATAAATGAGAAAACTGGCACTACCATCTGCTATTTATATGACATAATAATCAGCAATGCATTAAAAAAAGGATGGAGGTAAAATAAATTAATACGTGCACGAGTTTCTCTTACACATTCTCTATCAGGTTTTGTTTTAATATTAAGCTTACAATTGTTCCTATACTGGACAAGCTTCTGATGACTATTTGGAAGCAACAGTTGTGCACAAACAGCAGCTTTTTAAAATCAATTTTCGCTTAGGGCAAAACACACAGAGATCACAGCAAGTGAATTCTGTCTCTAAGGCCTGGAGTTAAGCTACCTCAAAAGTAGAAAATGCTAGGCATCTACCCCAAAAAACTTTTGCTTTCTCTGCTGATATGAACAAGTAACATTATATAATTACCTTCAAAAAAGGTGTTAAAAATGCATGTTCAGTCTCCTGTTAAATATGCAGAAATGGCCACCATTCTGTTACATGACCCAGTTGCTTGAAGCTGTGCATTCAGTATAATTGCCTCCCTCACACAACTTTGTCTTAGAAAGCTAATCACCCTTACAATTCATCTGAAGGAGGAAAACACCTCAGACCAATCCAATACTTAGAGCAATAAGGAGATATTGGTCCCCTTTACATCACTGTAAGCATCTATTAAAGCAGTATGACTCTGACCAAAAAATAAAATATCTTTTGTCTCAGCATTTCCATCTGCAGAGAAAAAGCAATGGCATTTAACTGACAGGTTAGAGGCTAGGGACTCAGTAGGCAACAATCAAGTACATAAACCTCTTCTCTAGGTGGAAAATGCAAATCTCCCTCACCAAAACAATACTGAATACCTAAAGCAATTTGCAAAAGTACAATCTAGCTCCCAGTTGACCTGAAAACAAACACATGAAGACCTGAAATGTTTGAAATGAATGATACTGCAGAAATCAGCACAGCAGCTCACCTCTTTACCTGCTTTTGTTAAACCACGGATTGTATACGGATCAGAAAAACTCCCTTTCATGTTGAAATATTTCACCTTCCTGTTTAGAAGAAAACAGCAACATAAATGCACATTTAACAAAGAATAGGAATGAAATACAATCAGCTACTTTTTCTATATCTGAAGTGCTAAAAATGGTAGCAAACAGGCATAGAAAAGTAAAAGGAAGAAAGCATCTCATTTCATAGAATTGTTTGCAGCTCTGTCACATAATTTAAGTCACTTAGTTCTTGTGTCACAGTTAACTCCTCTATACAGCAGAGTACCTAACCTTGAAACATGCTTTGGGATCAGCTTATTGACCTCTTCAAATGATACATTTTCCACTAGCCATAGCATTACTATTACTATCTATAACATTACTAATCTAATGATCATTTGAGAGCACACAAAAGTGTCTCAGCAGGAGTTACAAGACTAGTACTTGTTAATTATCTATTAATATAATTTCTCTATAGAAGTAACTGCATGCTGAAAAACTTGGAACCATTTCTGCACTGAAAGCAAAAAAATCCAGCTGTTCTACTATAGTGTTATCTGTGGGCTTGTGTGGCATATAAATTTTGGTAGACAAGCTTGAAATTATCTTGAGAAATCTTGACTACTTCATAGTAATGCAAAACTTCTCCAAATTAAAGGAAGCACTCCCTGATCACTACCTTATTAGAATAAAGAAAGCATTCCCTGATCGCTACCTTGTTAGAAAGCTTTCACGTATGGTCAGTTTCAACCACTATTTCCCAGAAAAGAAAAGGAATGGATTGGCAAAGGCACCTATAGTCCTGAGGAGAAAGGACTTACAAACTCAAAATACTAGCTCTAATAAGAAACTCCAAAGGCAAGTCAGCAATTCTACAAGGAGACGAAGAGCTCCTTGACTATGGGAAGAAAGATGAACTTCGAAGTCTTATTTACTTGTCTTGTAGTTGCACTCTGTGTCCCCAGTTCAAGGATTTCACATAATTCTGAACAGCTTGTGCCATCACAGGCCTATCACAAAACAAGAAACTGAACATGAAGTCATCACGTTACAAATTCAGATTACGCAACTCAAAGATATAGGCAATTGCTAGAAATTAGGAATGTTCTACGGTACTTCTTTTTATAAAAAAGTAAATTATCAACTCCAACATAATATCTGCCTCGATAAACCAGTAAATACAGTTTTGTGTTTTAAACAAGGAGCAGTCTAAAAAGCTTCACGCGAATTTCACTTCTGTAACTAAACACCAACCGGGAAAAGTTGTTACGCACTTGCAGCACATAGGGCACTAGTGTTTACCAAGTATGATGAACAGGTTGGGCTATATTCCAGCCATAATGTTGGGCATCTTTAAGTGCACTCCCTAAAAGGGCTGCTTGATGCATAAGCTTTTTAGGAATGCAGCCAACATTCACACAAGTTCCACCAAGTCCCCATTTGGTTCCTTCGGAAAAAAAAAAAAAAGGAAAATAAAAGGTTTACAGGTTAAACATAGGTTAGTGTAACTTAACACAATTAGGCTTAGAAAATTGTGCAATTAGCTAAAGAGTTCTGAAACAACACAGTTTACTGTCTCCCACAGATCAGTTTCTAACTCTGCTTATGTTCATTTGTTTTGATAAAAAACATTTATATATATTTTTCTTCTAAAATTCAAACCATCTCAAGATGTTTCTCAGAGCTCTGAAGATCCAGCTACGACACATTCACATTTGCTTATTTGCAGATCTTATTTTACATATTGTACATGAAGAGACCCAATATGATACAATTGATAATATTTAGAAATTATAAATGTCTTTTTGACAGAGACACTATTCTGACATATTTAAGTCCAAAGTCTAGCACAAATGGTAGCATCAAACACTGCTAACAACCTTAATGTGCAGGGGAAGCAGGCAGAGCTGGGACATCGTTGGAGGGAATGAGCAGTACAGCAAGCTGAGCTTAAGGACTTTTACTACAAGCAAAGCAGGCAGCATGGTGGCCACTTTGCTGCTTGGAGCAATCTGCTCACCTAGGCAACCGTTTTATACGCGTGTCCAAATATTATCCTAGTATTTCTCCTCCATACCTTGTGGAGAAGGTTCCACATAATCCAAAACGGCCACTTTCCTTCCAAACTGAGCAGCTTTAAACAAAAAGCAAGACAAGGTACTTTTAGAGGAAACACAGAAACCTAAACATTTTTAGTAGCTCAGGTACAGATAGAGTTACAAAGGGGCGAGGTTCTCTACAGCAGTTAAACAGTTCTTGGAACAGTCTGAAGGGACTGTTGTTTTAACACATAAATAAGAAACAGTATAATTTTAAAAATACAGTATCTACGGAGGCACTCACAGTGAAATAAAAGTTTGTTGGATTTTTTTCCATGACAAAAGAAGTAATATTTTTTAAAAAGCTAATAGGAAAGCCAAACAAGATCACTTCACCTGAGGGCGTGAATTAATTTGCAGATTAACTGTATGGAGCTGAGTTAATGATTAATGTGTAGGGACTGAAGCATACTACATTTCTTAAAAAGCTTTAGCATTATCAGTATCACTTTTTTTAGTTTCCATAAACACCACTTAAGCTAAAACAAACTTCTGTTAGTTATAAATACAAACCTTCTTTTGCACAAGCAAGGCCTCCAGATCCTCCACCAATTACCAGAAGATCATACTCATTCTTTCCTGTGTAAAGGATGTGAAAAAAGAAGGAAAAGAAACAGGCAAGGAAGATGAGACAGGTATGTAAGAAGGTAAATATAAAAAAGTACACTATTTTTAATAACTGATTATTGCTGATTTGGGTTTTCTTTACTTTATTAGAGCACTGCGTTTTTCAGCATCCCAAAGCATTCTCCAAAAATCATTAAACTATCTAGTCTGGTTTTGTGAATGAAATAGAGAAAATAAAGCAATCCAGAAGCAGTGAGGAAATAGATTAGATTTTTACGCAATGTCCCAAGAAGCTCTTTCTGCATGATTAGTTGCAACTGAGATCCAGTATAGGTCTTTTCTGTCTGCATTACACCAGCAAGTTCTACACAGAGATTTTTCAGCAGGGTCACCTTATCGGACTCAAAAAGCTCCAGATGCAATGTAGGCCTTGCAGGGGTGTGGTGGGGCAGTCAGAGGGACGCTGGCCCCTTCTGCCACCTCAGCCTCCCCACAGATCAGGTCAGTCTCCCAGAGCAGTTTTGAAGTGGCAGGAGAAGCCCACAGGTGAGCAATAACTCATTTCTTAGCAAGGGCACCAGGACAACCCCTGCTTTCAGACAGCTGTCAGCAGTTTAGGGAGGACAGCCAAGGTCCCACAAGCATCCCACACCAACTGTGCCACCCCAGGGTTGGGGGACTTTTCTTAGCAGTTCGGAGTGGGCAGTTGGACTAGGAGGGCTGACAGCCCCCGTCGCTGGAG